GAGTCGGACCTTCTTGCAAACCACGTAATTCTTCAAGTATCCTCCTCAACCAAATAGCTTGATAGTAGTTGCAATAAACTTGGCTTCCGTGGTTGACAGAGTGACAATCTGTTGCAAATATGCTCCTATCACCTTCACAGAACAAACTCCTAACAATTTCCTTAGCTTCGAGAACACCAGTAATTTGAGAGGCTTGGTTAGAATATCAACTACCTGATCTTCACTTCTACAGTAGATCCTTTGTCAGATCGCATAGGAAATGGTAGCGAACATCAATGTGCTTGCTTCTGCCATGTAAAACTGGATTTTTGGACAACTTGATTGCTGAACTGTTATCACAATAGACAGGAGTCGGACCTTCTTGCAAACCACGTAATTCTTCAAGTATCCTCCTCAACCAAATAGCTTGATAGTAGTTGCAATAAACTTGGCTTCCGTGGTTGACAGAGTGACAATCTGTTGCATTTTGGATGACCATGAAATGGCTCATGTTCCCATCAAAATGCATAACCGGAGGTGCTCCTCCTATCATCTAGATCCCCTGCATAGTCACTGTCAGTGAAGCCAAACAAACCTGAATAACCCCATTTTTGGTATAATATTCCAAATTCGATTGTGCCCTTTAAGTAATGAAAAATTCTTTTTGCTGCCGCCAAATGAGGCACTTTCAGACACTTCATATATCTGCTAATGAGACTCATTGCGTGTTGTATGTCTAGCCTAGTCACCATCAGATACATCAGACTTCCTACAATCTGTTTGTAGAGAGTTGTATAAACCTTCTTCTCTCCAGGATTCTTTACTAGTTTCAAACCAATTTCAATTGGTGTACCAACCGAATTGCAGTTCTTCATCTCAAACTTGTCTAAGATCTCTTAAACATATTTCTTCTGTGAAATAAATTTTCCGGCACTAGATTGTACTACTTCTATACCAAGAAAATAGTGCATCAATCCAAGATTAGACATATCAAACTCATGCATCATGGATTTCTTAAAGTCATTAAACATCGCCATATCCTTACATGTATAGATCAGATCGTCCACATACAAGCACACGATGAGTATCTGCCTTCATCTCCAGATTTTGTAAAGAGTGTATGCTGCATATTTTCAAAAACCTTCTCTTGCAAAATATGTCTCTATACAGCTGTACCAGGCTCTAGGACTTACTTTAGCCCATTTAAAGCTTTTTTTTAGCCCGTAAACTTTTCCTTCCTTCCCTGGCTGAACATAACCTGTTGGCTGCTCAACATAAACCTATTCTTGCAACACACCATGTAAATCTAGATGGAAGATAGGCCATGAGTTTTGTGCCACCATTGAAAGCACCAATCGAATTGTGTCATGCCTTGCCACTGGTGCAAAAACTTCTGCGTAGTCAATGTCGTACTCTTGCTTGTAACCTTTCGCCATCAAGCGTGCTTTGTGCTTATGAATCTCACCCTTCTCATTTAGCTTTGTCTTGAAGACCCATTTGACACCAATCATCTTGTGCCTTTGTGGAAGATTTGTCAACTCCCAAGTATTGTCCTTCTCAATAGATTCCATAGTTTTTTGCCACTTTAGTTCTTTTACTGCATTTGAAAAAGACACAGGATCAGATTCTGCAAACAAAGCAAAGTGAACAAGCATATCATCATCAATTCCTTCACTTCCACTAATCACTACAAGAAAAAAGGTCTTTCACGACGAAATCTTTTGCGACCAATCCAAATTTGGTCGCCAAACAGGGTTATGGGA